GACAACCCTGGCATCATAGTGTTACACAATCTGTTACACAATCCTCTCCAATATTACCTACAACGTTATCTTGTATATGCGTCGGAGGTGGCCAGTGGCCGTTAATTGAACAGAGCGTCCATCCTTCCATATCTCGTGGCACAATTAATAACTGTGTACTGCGAGGTAATACAAATAGACAACGGATTTTTTGGTGTTTTACGAGCGCATCAGCCGTCTTTGGAATCCTCACAGTATGTATCTCGTGAGCAATGGAGTAAATTTCGCTTAATGCCTTGCACTCTTGTACAGAATGCTAACGGGAAACTTTAAAGCACGTCGTATTCCTTGACAGTACAAAATTAATCTCTGACTACCAAATGACTCGACCGGGATGGGGTCTTTACAAGTCCTGATGGAGCGGGGACGGAAGGAGGGAATTGTCATCGATGGAAAATTAGTGTGTACAGAGCATTACTGGCAGCGTCAGGAATAGCGGAGTAGGCCAACGATAAAGCAACAACGATATCAACTTGTGAGCTACACCACAGGCGGTGAACGTTACATGGCACATTATTGACGGCGACGTAATCTTGACGAAATGGGCGGCCCGATCGAGGCTTATGTGGATGTTATCTTGGCCAACATATCGGATGTCTTCTTTATATTTAATGACATAGCACATGCAAGATTAAGATATAGTCGGAGTGACAAGTGGGTTAATTTGATGTGAATATAGGCGTAGTTAAAGCCGCGGGATCAAGGCAATAAGCTAAAGTTGAGTAAGTGCATCGTTCTCAAGTTATCCAATCCGTTGATTCTATCATGCTATCTTCAATTTTGTTTCTCTTCTGGTACGGAGTATCCATGATTTTTGGGTGCTCAATGACTCTGCAAACAGCCATGACGTCGTTATATCCTATTTACTAAGATAAAATAAGTTCATTCCAGTGCTGTTTAAAGACATGTGGTTGTTAGCGAACGTTGGGTTGTGGCTGTATGATTATTGGCATTTACCCTTTTGTCGCTGACCTGTTTACCGCCAGCGCACGAAAATTATCGGCTCAGAACACATCACAGCTTCATAATTAGTCGGTCACGCTTTCGTGCACGATATGTATATAATGTTTTAGCTCACGACGCATCAGTCTATAGTTTTAGTGTTGGTACTTAATTGAGATACATAAGTATAATCTACTAGCCCTAAGCGTGTATTAAACGGTCGGCCGTTGTATCCGAATGGATTTTCGTTCCTTGTAACATTGAATGACGCGTTTCACAATAATTAATGCTTCACATTGGCTTAACATGATGTGAAGAGCTAAGAATACTTGAGCACCCTTTTTCGCCAACAGCAGCTCATCAGCAAAGTAAGGAAGTCTCTGCTGATTAGCTGCTATATTTTTTTTTTATTAAAATCACTTTCTAAAGATTACCTACGCTTCCTGATGAGGGTTTCGATTAATTTTGCGAGCATGGTTGCCCTCGTTTATGACTTTATTCGCACCGAACGTTGAGTTAATCGCCTAGTCGTAGTCAAAATTTATCATGCTTTGCACACGAGACCGACCTTTCCAGTAGCACTCTGGTTGATACATGCGGGGGTAGTGCGATCCATGCCAATTTCAGATATAAAGCAGCATCTTGAACGCTCTATAAAGAATGGTGGTTTATTACAGAATTATCTTGATACCAGTATCCAACGTGAATATTAAAATGACACTCCCATCGTTTCATGCCAACCCCTAATTACATTTGGTCTACTACAGTTTTGTTCTGTTTTGTCAGACTTCTCTTGACAGCACAGCCTTGTTACTGCACATGTGTGACCAGAGTATTTTTGGCTTCTTGCAGTGACCGATTTAGGTCTTGTGTTCAGGATCCACCATTCTATAGCAGCGTTGAAGGTTTACCTAGTAGTAACATAAATGGTTTTGCTTGCTTTGTAATGATGAAAAATTAGTTTTTTTACTTAAATATGTTCCGGGGAGTTTATCGGTGTGTGACAGAGTATTTTTGGCGACCTCTTTTTGCTAGAGCTGCACCCCCGTGTACTGGGTGACTACCAAAACCCCGATAAACCAATTTTAGAAATAGTGTAAATAGCACCCTCCTAAAATGCATTTATAAAACCGTTAAAAGCAACACATATCGATCGAGACCAAAAAAAATCGACAAACATGTTGTTTCGTAAATGTTTATTGCACAATGAAACAAACCACTCTCAAATGTGCACACCCACCGCCGTATACCCACCGTCGCCACAGGGAAGTGTTACGTATCTCCAGCCCACATTATATGATGGGCGACTTCCATTTTGTTGGCGTCACCTATTTTCCGATTTGGTCAGAACTGGTACTGGAGCCTGTTTTGTCGATTTGATATTTCCCAACCGTTTCTTCGTGACTTTAAATGGGTACTGAGCGCCGAGGCTGTAATCTTTTTTGCAGAGGTCGTTTGCTATCAGATGTTTTTCTGGTTCGCACAAAGCAGACCGTCGACGGGCTGCATTGGTATTCGAGTCGGAGGTTTTGGAGCTGGACACGGAGTCGTACGGTACTCTTTCATAACGGGCTTCGCACCTCTAGAAGACCATAGTTGTATTTTACACACAACCTTTCTATTATCTATGCGCGCTGAGGAGCCCCAAACGGTCCCTTTTGGTACCATACGTCAGCCAATGGATCGACAGGCGTTCAAGCTCCACTAATGCCTGCTTACCATCCCATTACAATTTTTGCTAGAGCGATTAGATGCAATTTTTGACACGGATACCTGGATACTAGCGGCGGCCGTTTAGCTTTCTTCTCATGTCTGGAAGCACGACAATGGACTCTCCGGCTGCCAAGTATGGATGGCGTATCACGTCGCCACCAAGCGACTTAATTTCCAATATTTCTTACGGACAATAGCTGTCGTGCCTTACAGGAGTGTCACGGGGTGCCAAAGATTTTCTAATATTATTTTGAGAGTGCCAAAGGCGTGTGCGTGGTGAGGTAAATTCATCCGACATAGAATCAGCGCTATCGATATTTCGTGTCTTTTCTGGATGCTTTGGCAACTATGCCGACTGTCAGGCCTATTAAATTTAGTCAAGATGATGTTGCGGCTGGCGAACAGGTGTGGCAACGGGTTCGGTTCCTGCTGTGCTCTATCTGCATCACGCGTTTATGTTGTGAGCGAAATGATGTCGCTTTTCGTGGCGCGCAGTCCACGACGCCTGCTAGCGTGATAAGAATATAAATGCGCATAAACAGTAGTTCAAGGGGCTCAGTTGCATGCTTGTCTTGAACTTTAACTTTATAGTGGACTGCCAAACCTCTTCCTTAACACGTTGTCACATACTACCGCCGCGCTTCGTACTGCGTTCCTGGCTTTGACGATCTCAGACTTCAAGCACATAATTATACTGGGTAATAAGTAGTCAAATATCTCTATTTTTACTTAAACGGTTTGTCGAATGGTTTTGGTGGCACGACATCGCATAAATATTTGCTCGCATTCATTTGTAAAAGGATTAATAGAGGTGCCATAAACGCTATAAGTAAACTCAGTTTATCGGGGTTTTGGAAGTCCCCACTGGATCTCATTGCATAATTCTTCGTAAACAGAAGTATTCATAAACCATTCGTAGCCGCGAAATTAGTTATTACAATTAACTACTATACAGGAACGGTATTACGGAGGGATTTGCCTGCTCAACTGTGAAGATTTTCAGATGGTGTTGTCGTTGTAGTAAAGAGGAGGGGTGGTGATGGACCCTTTCTGCATTTAATTCTCTACATTGTCGTGTGATAAAGAGCACTTGCACATCCTTGCAGCGCATGGTCCTAAGTCAAAATGGAGCAGGTAGTAATCGATGCCACCGTTTAATGGACAAGTATGTATGATCGATAAGCCTAGGCAGGTTGTTAGGGACACCGATTGAGGTGAACGGATGGCTACAGGTTCTGCTGTCCAAGTGAAGCGCTTTAAAAGGGAACATTGCATCTACAATATTCTGCATCATGTATTCAGGTGGAAATTTGAATCGTCAGTCGTTTGAGTTACTATCAGTAGTGGAGCGCTATCTTTAAATTTAGAGCTGAGCCTTCTAGATTGACGCCGGGGACTACAACCAAGGAGGAGCCTGATGGACCAGTTTCTTTTCGTGTCGTGGCCTAAATCGGACGTATGTCCAAACTCGGTATCGCATGTAGCTTGCCAAGCAACTGGACAAAAGTGAACGACCTAACCCACTATATATCGTTTGGAAAGCGCAATGACCATCACCTTCCTATGACAATGGTAGTTAATTGATGCATGTTACGTTACGGACCCTCTCGACACTCCAGTGCTTCGTCTGGACTGCAAGACCGACTCTACACAAGTGCAACAACACCATGCGACGCTTCAATATCTCTAGGACGTAACCTCTTATTGAAGTATCAACTACCACATCCGCGACATAAATATAACCAATAGCATCGCCTGCATTGCACCAACGAGCGCTTAGAAAAGGTCAATTTCATCTTTGGAGGGTACATCACTAGCACCTTTTGCTCATCCTTTATCTCGGTACAGCATGCAATCAGCAGAAGATGCTTTGGACTTCCTTTCGGAGAGTCAGAAACGCGGTGTCGCAGGTTTATGTGCTTGTCTTCTACCCGCTGTCTCCGATGGCTCGATTGACATATTATGGTCGCGAACGTACCTGAAGCTACTGGTGGAGCAATTTTTGAGACTTTCTAGTAGCCAAACCGAGGCCTATTTACCCATTTTGATGTCGAGACAGTTGCAATTGGCTGAAAAGATGCACATACCGTCACGTGGTACATCTCCTTTCGTAGACGACTTTGACCCCGCCCCTTTTCTGGCTCAAGTGACACCTAAAAATGCCACAGACACGACTCGATGTTCTCGAGCGTGGACGAAACTGACGACGCCCAAAAAGACCAATCAGAAGCAAGGAAGCAATTGAACAATTCGGTCATAAGTGACGCACTGGACGAGTCCCACGTGCGCTTCGGGCCAGAACATTGATGAGGAGACTCGTGCTGGCAATGGACTTGCAGTGGGCAGACGTGACCCAGGAAGAGGAGAAGATTGGCCAGACGTTGTACGCAGAAGCCACTGCCACGCTGCTGGCCAAGAAAGAAGGAACAAAACCAAAAGGCTGGGACTGGAAACGCCATGCGGCAATCGGTGCAGCATCTGTGACTGGTGGCGCTTTACTTGCAGTGACAGGAGGTCTTGCTGCTCCTGCAATTGCGGCAAGTTTGACAGCGCTGGGAGGAGCAGGCGTGACGATCGGCGCTGTTGTGGGCTCTGCAACCGGCGTCACAGCAACGACAGTGCTCTTTGGAACAGCTGGAGCGGGAGTGATGGGTATGAAGACTGAGAAAAGGACGAAAAGCGTTCATGATGTTGGCTTCGATCTCGTGTCGGCAGGGCATGGCATGAACGTCTACATTTGCGTGTCGGGGTGGCTGGACGAAGACGACCCGCCGACAAACGGATTCCGTCGAGCGTGGGGGATGCTAGCGAGGGCTTGAGTGCGTCGTGTGTTCAAAGAAAGCCAAAGCAGGTGGATCAGGTGGATCAGGTGGATCGAGTCGTGGGCCAGTGTCGAGGTCGAGAAGACGAGCTGCTTACTGAGACGAATGATCCACGTCATGCTTCATGTTTGTCGAGGACAGTACACACAGACACCTACGCGCGTGGTGGTAACTTAGCGAACCACATCAGCGACCCAAAAGCTTGTTCTCCTAGTTTGAAGAGCACAGCAGCAAGCAACGCTAGTCCATCTGCGTGGGAGCGAGGAACAAAGCTCAATCCGCTTCAAGCATGGCGATGGAACGACCGTTTCCCTCATGGTGACCAGTATTGCCTTGTTTGGGAGGAAGCAGGACTACGTCGGTTTGGTAGATGCATGCGTACATTTGCAGCTGAGCAAGTTTCAGTATATGCGGCGACAGAGATTGTCAAATACACTGCGCTGGCAGCATTGTTTGCAGCCGTAGCGATTCCACGGGCGATATTTCGACTGGCCGACATCATTGACAACGCGTGGACAGTAATTATGAACGCTGCAGACAGCTCTGGTAAATTGCTAGCGGATGCGCTGCGTAAGCGAGAGCAAGGCTTGCGTCCGGTCACGTTGATTGGGTACGGTATGGGTGCCAGATTGATTTTCTCCTGCTTGAAAGAACTGGCAAATGAAGATATGGTCAACGAATCGTGTGGGATTGTAGAGAACGCTGTCTTGCTCGGATCGCCTCTTCATATGGCACGCAACGAATGGATGAGCGCTCGTCGCGTAGTCTCCGGGAGGCTAATTAATGGGTATTCAGATAATGATTGGATGCTTGGTGTGATGTATCGCTACCAGGGATGGGCTCTGAATTCGGCGGGCATTGCGCCTCTCGATATTGCTGGTATCGAAAATGTGAATTTATCAGAGATCATTGGAGGACATCTGGAGTACAAGAGCAAAATTGGCGTCATACTGGATCTGCTGAAGCTGGAAGACTGAGTGGCAGCCACGAAGCCAACAGCTGCGATGCTCTGGGTGTTGCTACAGGATCGTCTAGACGACGTATGTACCGCATTTCTGGTTGCGATGAAAGTCTTGATGCATGTGATATACATTACATTGCCAACATGCTGGTGTACGTGTGTGAGCGGACGCGGGCTCACCTTTTCATCGTTGATTCGATTTGCGGGCACCAAGACACAGTTGCTGCAGGATTCCAGTAGTGCACCGTACTATCCCGCATAGTGTGAGTGTCGTTTAGCAGACGTAGTGCTGCTTTTGCAAGCGCCTCGTATATTTGATACCATCGACGCTACTTGCGGGTTCGTACCGATTGCGACACCAGCGTTCGGTCAACCTAAAACATCACAAGTTGGTCTTCTTCAACGTAACAGTGACGTATCTCTTCCAGTTCTCCGTCTAGTTCGGAAGTCGTACAAGTTGAGAAACGATCGTCACATCTTGGTCGGATCCACAAAGGTTAAAGCTCGCATCCATTGTTCGTAAGCGTTGGCATATCACGTTTGCTTCTAGCAATTCATCCGGGAGATATGTCGAAACTCAGAAGGCTGACCATGAAACCTGTGATTGTTAGTAGTTACGGCAGGTTTGTCGAAGACTCCGTCTTGCTGGCAGCTCAGACGGTTGGATAAATGACAACTTCACGTGTGGCTTTTCCTCACTTTGTAAGACATACCAGCTGGTAAGGAGACAAACGAAAACGGGGTGGCTACTAGCCTGTACGATAATGTCCCCATGGAAAGTAGCTGACACACGATTGTACAAGCTTTGAAGCAGGCTTCTTTGACGACAGCAAAGCCGAACGGATTCGACCATGCTCCGTTTGTGCCCCAGAAAAAAGAATGCACAAGGGCAAGCAGACCATACAAACAAGATTTAGTAAAATAAGTGTCATATCCGACCTAGCTCATGAGCCGTACATCAAAGTGTTGATGTCGGTCCCGTGGAAATGATCAAACGTGCAAGCATGGACGCCGTACAGAAATTGTCTCCAGTAACGAAGTGACATCCAAGTGAACCGAGCTGCAGCACGGTTGAACACACTTTCACTTTTCATCATCTTGTCATCGAGGCTGCGGTCATTTTTTGGTGCAAAGTGTTTGCTTGTGCTGCTTGTACAGTGATCATCATATTGTCTGCAGTCTCGTGCGTAGACCCAACTACGAAGCGAAGTGCAAGCTCGACGTGAATGAAGACAGAGTGAACGGAAATCCATTTGATTGGGCAGGCGGCAATCACAACGTCGCCCTTGACGGGACACAAGGGACCGGCAGCGAACGGGCGAGGCCACTGCAGACGAGTAGCACTTCTTTTCTTGGATGATAGCTGTAATCGTACCTGGCTGAAGCAGCCAGATGGAGCTACTCCATTACGTTATTTTCGAATTTGTACTGGTCGGGAGAACCATGCTAACGACGTTGTCGACTGGGCTACTTAAGAATGAGACCACGCTTCCGTGTGGTGTCAAAAGTCGACAAACACTGGAATAGATACGCTAGCTATCTTCGTTTTGCGAACCACTGACGGTATTTGAGTTGATCGCTGGAGAAATTTATGAAGAAACCGTACATCACGTCAACAACATTTGTAGCGAGTTTACGTGTCGCTTGCTTATGCAGACACACGCACCTGAGAACACACCTCGTGCTACTATGACTGCTTCTGTTAGTCTTCACAGCTGAATAAGCCACATATGATGACTCCTCCAAAAAGATTAGACACGATGAAAAAAGTGTGTATTGATTGCCACTATCAATGAAGGCAGCTAAGTCCCCGGGGGCCTCAGCGAAAGAACCAACGACAACCCTGGATCATCCTCGGGTACGTCGTTCGTCAAAGGCGACGGCTTCTTGCGCACGCGACCCGAGTCCAGATTTTCTGCCTTCCGTTTCACGACCGACTCTGTCCTCAAAAGTATGGATGGCTCGTTGTGCTCCTCCGATGCGATGCTGGGGACTCCAGACCTGCCATCTTGATGTGACGTGCCAGGATGAGCATTGGCCTGCCCGTTCGTATCCTTCCCCTTTGCGATGTTCGACTCAAAATAGTTATCGACACCAAAATAGGTGTCAAGATGCCACAGCGTTCTTTTCAGTGCAAATAGCTGGTCACCTTTTATCTCCTCTTTTAGAGCAACGAACTCGACCAAAGTATCCATGGTTTCGTACGTCAAGCCTCTCGTCTTAATTTGGAGAAGTTCAATCACATAAGAGATTTGTTCGTTTTGGCTTGTACTCCAGTAACGTAGCAGCATTTGCTGGAACGACACCGCGTCGTTCCTGATGGCCGGAGATAGCTTTGCGATCGACAAAAAGTCTGTGAATTTAGTCGCGCTTTTGCAGGATTTTAAAAGCGTCCGGATCGTCTTCGTCTCATCTCCATCAAAAAAATCCTTCAAGGCCTCCATCTTTTTGAAATCCAGGCGCCAGATAAAATTGTTTTTTATCAGCACCGTGTGAAGTTCTTTAGCTTCAGGTTGCTTCTGTATCCATTTCACGATATTATCTTTGGTAATGGGAGAATTGACGTTAGGAATTTGGTTGGCCCGACTTGCGATATAGTTCACGTAAGCGCGCACCTCTGGCGTATCTGACTTTAGCACTCGTAGCTCAGGTCGTACTTCTGCTAGCCAATGTGATGCTTCCAATTGTGTCTTACTCTCCGCTATCATCCCGTTCCATACGCCCCGAGCGGCTTGTGCCCTGTCCGCGCTCATCCCGGCAGCATTTTGACTGTCCCCCATTCGATTCAGCACGCCCGGAGCGATCTGTTGCTTGCCACTGATTTCAAATAGCTTGGACTCCAGAGGTTTTTCTTTTTGAAACCACCTTTAGCAATTCTGGGATGACCCGTGAAGGTCCTGGATAAGTCCTCGCCTCATCCTTTGCGGCGTTCTGTCCTATCAGTGGCACGTTGCGAGAATCGTCGTCAGAGTCAGGAAAGAAGGGTGGAACACTGGCCGCAGAGTTGCCCTCCCCTTCGAGGTGCCGGACACTCCCACGGAAACAGTGACGCCAGTCAGAACTGCTGCAGACGCAAGAAGAACGAAGGGGTGGAAACGCATCTTTTCTTGGGCAAAGGATCTTGGATGAGTTTTGGAATGAATGGACGTTTGAGTGGCTGTGCGTCACGAGAGCCAAGAGTCTCGTCGAGCACGATGATTGGCTGGAGTGGCACCTTCCGATATCGCTGGTATTGAAAACGTAGAATATCGGGCGAGGCTAAATCGTGCTGTATTCTTACAATAGTGTACTACAAACGCGTCAAACAACCTAATGGACAGCTTACTAGCTCAGGAGTTAAGCTTTATCTGTGTTATGCCATACATATAAGCTCAGAGGTGCGGAGACTATAGAACTCCCTTGCTTCCTTAAACGGATTTTAGTTTCTTGTATGTCACTATAATGGGGCACCGTTTGCTTGGGGTGCCACGAAACTTCACGTACACTAGTACGTGCAGAGGAAGGTAATCTACTTGATTTACTCATATTAGCAACGGTGAAAGGACTGTATTTATGTAGTTGATCTGTAACGGGGTCACACTGGCCTTTTGTAACGGGGTGGCCCCTTACATGAATTGACACCAAACGGTGTCAATAGGAATGTTGTCTAGCGTGACAATATTCTACCAATATAATCCGAGATGGATAATATTGAAGAAATATTATCCCCTTTTGGACAATATTCATGCGCTGCTCCAAGATTGGTTGATATCAGACATATCAGCCGTAGACTACCGCAATCGCTGCTAGACGGGCGCAATGAGTGGTGAGCAGGTCGTCGTCATACGACGACGTAGTTTAATATCGTTAAATAAAGATTAAAGTTATCTTGATAGCTTAACTTTATGTTACATACAGTTCTCTTTTTTCGCTTGACCGAGTCGTTTAAGTAAAATTAGCTTCCTCTGCCGTACTAGTGTGCACGTAAAGGAGTTTCGCTGCACCTCTAACAAGGCGCCCCGTTACACCTAAACTAAATTTGGTCAAAGATCTTTTCCACGTATGATATCGATGGGCCACGGTGATACCTTAGAATTTATAATAGCAAGAGAGATATCCAGATGATCCGATTCCCAGATTTACGGTGGTTCATAAAATGTATCTCTCGTTCATATCGTATACTGTGGTTTTGATGCTGATTGTGTTCCTATTTTTCCTGAGTGTTCTTTTCCCTGTTCATTATTCATGTTCTCAACAATGTTTAATTTCTCGTTCTTGTTTACTCTTAACGTTAAGACTTTCGAGTGGAAAGAGGGGAAAGTCTCCTCCTGGATTTTGAGAAATCAATTTGGCTATCAAAGCCCCGCTTCAATCTGGGCGACTGAAAGTTGGCCTATCACTTCTAAGCTCGGTGCTGGGAGCCAAAGAATGGGCTCTTACCTGTGATATGTCGTTCAGCGCTGCGTTTTCCGCATATGATTCAGTGAAACGAGAAATATATCAGTGTTAAAGCCACCGATTCAGTCTTATCGTGTTCGCTCTCGATTCTTAGCCACCATGCAGGAAAACGAGAATTCCGGAATTTGCAAGAATTGCAAACTCTCATAGCTGATATGCAGATGGACCCTCTTTCAGAGCAGGTCCGTGTCATCGTTTTTTTATGGAGGCCCTTCGTAGGGAATCGTAAGGACGGAAGTCTTCCGCGTCCACCCTAAACGATTGAAGGGGCCGTAGAAAAAGCGTTGAATGCTGAGTCAACTTTAAGCCTTTCGCTTTGGCATGTATGGGCATGCCCAAAGATCATTTGACGAGGCTGAGCCCGTGGACCTCAGACATGCCGAAAGAAGATCGAGATCTTCTGGCTGTTGAACAACAACGTAGCATCCGTAGATGTTACACATGTGCGGGAGCATCAAGCACTTGCGCCGTCAGTGCCCACTGCGGAAGCGCGTTAAAGTTGGTCGAGCCGCAATCTGCCTCCTATCCCGAAAGTGGGCACGGAGCGGGAAAACGGCAACTCCCAGTTGGCGCGGGGCACCCTACTGGGGGAGGAACCGGGCTCTGCCGAATCTTAAAATGGTAAAGATAGGCAGGGCTTGGCCCTAGACGGTCTTGTGGAAGTTTTTACGAGACGTGAGTATAAGCTAGGCTTGTTGGTGGCCTCTGCTAAAATTGAAGGCTTTGAAGAGCCGTGGTCAATATTAAATGACTCTGGAGCGTCAGGCAACTATGCTCGACGCCGGTCCCTTAAGAGATGTCATCCAATACGCTGAGGTGGTGAAAGCGCATGAGGGTGATGTTATCACTGCTCGCTTAGCGACAGGTACTCGTGTCACCGTACCTAAATTTCGTTGAACTTATGTATGAAATTTTTTGATTTTGGTAGTATCAGACGTTGTCTTGTCCTGGATTTGAACTCTAGACATGATCTCATCCTTGCCTGATAAGCTTGGCTAGACGCCATGAATGATGGATTGATTGAAGGTCGAGAGGCCTCAGGCGCAACACGTAATTTTCCTAGTGAAGCTTTGAAGGGTCATGAACCCGTTTTGCTGGGCGACAAAAGCGCTATTGGCGCGTGGCACTGACGGATTCTGTCAGTGTGCTGGACATTGGAGTGTCTGGGCTAGTTAATTCCTCATGTCATTGACAACAGTGAAACGGCACGTATTCCTTTGGAGGTGACACTAGTACTGACTGTGAATCACTGAATGCTGGAAGCATTGATGGCTTAAAGGCCGAGTCATACTGGGTGTGATCCCTGTGATGCGCGTGGAGTGGCACGTAAACATTCACAGAGTGAGGTCGGCCGTGATGACAACCCACCTAATGTCGGTAATGACATTGTTGGCGATGCGCCAAGGCATCAAGAGTTATGCTCAACAGATGCACTTGTAGTGGATAACTGTACACATAGTGAGGTCTGCCGTGAGAGCTCCACACCTTGATGTCGGTAATGACATTGGCTCTCAGAGAGAGCAGGTTAAGGTTGAAGTTAATCTTCACCTCGTAAAATTGGATGTTTCTAACACGTTATAGTGTTCAGTCTCTGCACAGAGACGACAGCGACGCCAGATGGCGGCTGCAAAAAGAAATGCTTCTGCCATGACCCAGAGGGACACTAGTAAACAGTTGTACGCGTTAGTCAATGGGGTGTCGGGTGTGATTGATGGAGAAGTTGGCCTCGAGGCACTCCCATCGATCAACGCTCTGCTAGAGAAACTAGACAAATGTCTGTAGACGAATTCATTAAGTTTTAATGGCTGGTGCTTTGTCCAATATGGTGGTCCTTAGACTTTATTTTGAGTTAAGCTTGTCATCCCTTGTAAATGAAACAATCCTTGAGGACACAAGAGCTGCAAACTGTGCTCGTAGTGGATCTGCCATTTTAAAAGGATCCTTCAGATCCCTTCTATCCTTTGGTAAAGAAATTTCAGGACGTGGTGTGTCATGATCCCTATCCACTCTACCTCCCGACAGAGGTGTGCGTCGAGAAATCGACCTAGTCCCTGGGTCCAAATACGGTGCCACACGGCAATTGCCATTGCCTAAGGAACACTGTGCCGTCATTGACGAATTCTATCGTGCAAAGCACGCGGCAAGCATGGTGCGGGAGAGAAAATCTCCACAATTCACACCGACATTTTGTATCAGAAAGCCTAATGGTAATTGGCGTGTTGTGCTCGCTTATAATAAGCTCAAAGCGGCCATTATACCGGCGCTGACACCTATTCCTGAAAAGTATGTTCTTCAGAACACTATGGTGGGTTGCATTATGTTTAGCGCACTTGACTTAGTCGATGGTTATTACCAACTGCTCATGCGAGCGAGTGACATGCCGCTCACAGCGGTTAGCACGCTGATTGGCAATGTTTTGGGAGGGTGGATTGTTATGCCTCAGGGACTTTCTAATGCCTAGAAACCTTAAATCGTCTCGTGACGCAATTGTTCCGCCCTCATAGAGGATAAGAACAAAACTATTTTGATGGCATTTTTGTCCATAGCCGTGCAGAACAAGGGAAGATCAGATGTGGAAAATCACGTTGATCATTTACGAGCAGTGCTCGGGTGCATGCGCACCATCAAGTTGTATGCAAATGCATCTAAATGCATGGTGCAGAAAAATCCCTTTATCTAGGTTCTTCAATGGAAAGCGCGGCCTACGGGCAGATCCCGCTAAGGTAAAATCCATCGTGGATTGGCCGGTTCCGTCTGACCCAAAAGACTTGCATAAATGGCTTGATTTATCCAATTACTTACACAAGTATAGTGCAAATTATGCTGACATGGCAAGGCCATTTACCAACCCTCCTTAAAAGGGTGCGGTTTGGTGTTGATACTCGGTTCAGGCAAAAGCTTATCAAGCTGTTAAGGAGAGTCTCCTTCATACTCCAATTTTGGATTTGCCTGACCCGGAGCGACCTTTCACTGTCGTCTGTGACGCGTCTGATTTTTTCCATTGACAGTGCATTGTTGTAAACTGATGTCGATGGACATGAGCGCGTCATTGCGCATGAGTCTCGCCAGCTAAAAGCTGCTGAAAAAACTATCCAGTTCACGACAAAGATTTACTTGCGATGAAGCATTCTCTTGTCACGTTTATAGTACATCGACTTCGGTCCAAGCCGTTTGTAATCCACACGGATCATGCGTCGTTGCGCACTGCGATTCAGTCGCCTCATCTCTCGAAACTTATGGACCGTTGTCTTTCATTCTTCGCTGAGTATAACTTTGAGGTGAAGTATGAACCAGGGAAGCAAAGTGCCTTGGCCGA